GCATATCCTGTTTCCTCCTCCTCCAGATGGACTTGGAGTTCTCGTCCTCGGCGTAAAGGGTCGCTCTGGAGTCTTCTTCGAGTGACTAAATGGGCACTTGTCACCATTTCGACACCCTGCATCTGTGAAATGGAACTTGCAGCGGATTTGCTTCTTGCTCTTGTCGCCTCTGTTGTCCGCTGACTCACTCCTCGTCTTCTTCTTGGGTTTTGGCTTGGTTTTCGCATGACTCTTCGCTTTGCTTTGAGGTAGTACAGGTGTAGCCTTATCCGGCTTGGTCGGCGAAGCCTTGACCTTTGCGGATGGAGCTGCGTTAGGCGTTGGTTTCTCAGGTACCTTGGCCGGTGCAGCAAGCAAATCCTTGCCCTCAAGCATCTGGCGCAAGCCAATTTGGGTCTGAGTGAGATTTGATTGTTCTCGTCTCCGCATGATGGTACGGTCAATGATCTTCATCAAATTGTCGTACGATCGGTCTTCATGATTGTAGGGCAAGTGTTCGTAGTGCATGCCCAACTCCATCTTCATTGCGGGCGAGTCCTTGATCTTGCTGTACAAGCAATCACGGAGAGCTGTTTTGGATGGTATGTCTTCTGGCCTCATCCGTCCCAGAACTTCCAACCACGTCTGCTTGAACGTATGAAGCTTGTTGTCGCCTTGGTACTGGAGCTTCACCAGATACTCGAGAGTGATGATCATGTCGAGACGATCATGCGTTCGAAAGCTTTCATACATCATCGCAATGATTTGTCGTCCTTTGATGATCTTCCCTTCGGGCCTGCTGATGTAATCGTTGGCCTTCCGGTTCACCTCCAAGTACAGGTCAGCAGATTTGTCACCACCAGCACGTAGCATTGCGACCATTGCGATCCCCAATTTGACGTCTACGCTCTTAAACTTCTTGTGTCCTGAATCGTTCAATGCTTCGACGTCAGGGAATGGGTTGAACGCTGGTGCCAGCCATAACATCCAGTCCTCATGATTTGGATCGGCTGATGCTCCTAAGACATTCGCCGTGCATACGGATCGCCAGTTGTTGAGGTGAGTGAGAGTAGGCCATGGAGGTACGGTCACTTTGTCGGCCTCCCTCCTAGAAATTCTCACTTCCGTGACTTCAGGATCTGCGTCTCCATCAGGATCACGCGCATGAGATCCAGGATCCGATTCAGGTTTGCCTCCACCGCTTTTCTTCTTATCATCATCATCATCAGGCGGGTCAGGAGGGTCATACCCCGTGCCGGTTCCTTCATCGTGCTCTCCATCTTCGTTCTCGTCGCCAGCCTCGTCACCGTCATCGTCTCCATTATCCTCCTGAATCGTTTCAGCGAATAACTTCCACTCATCACGATCAGCTCTGAGACGTTGTTCGGCTTTCTGGGCCTTGAGTACTTCGCTTCGCAGATCGGCAATCTTCTCCTCGTACCGTTCCGCGACCTCTTTCTCGATCTGACGTCTCCTTGCTTCATGAATGGAATCGTCATAGGCAATAGGGGGACCGATGAGGTCGTTGCCCTTCGTAGATGCGGTGATACCGTCGACACCAACAGGTCTTGAGGAGCTGGCAGATGCTGTGGACTTCGATCCCAACATCCCGCGATTCTCCAAGAGTTCGCGTAGCTGTCGATCACGCACGGCTGCCGCATCACTTTTCCCATGAAATCCGCTTGGTATGCCGAACAAAGTGGCTGCACTAGGCGTGGAACGCGCAAGTGCTGGGCTGCTAATACCTGGCACGTAGTGCTCGGGCATTGCATCCGCCACGATTGGCATTGAATTGCGGCCAGTGAAGAAGTTTCCATCGGTGAATGGAATTCCATCCATCACAAGGTTCTTGTCCTTGTCCGATTCCGAGAATGCGAACTTCTCTTTGGCGACTGGACTAACTTGACTTGGGGACCGTATTTCAGGGGATCGTACCTCACCTCCTACGGAAAATGCAGGCACTACTTCCTTTCCTACGTGCTCCCAGCCAGACTCAGTAGTCCTCGAAGACATGGGCATGCTTGAAGGCCGTGTCGCTCCTCCATAATTGGAGTTTCGCGCTGCCTCCAATTCGCTGCGTGTCCTCGCTTGAAGATCTTCTTGTGCTTTGAGCGTTTTCCTGAGTTCACTCAGCTCGTCGTGCAAGGTAGGCAATGCACGCCTTGCATGATCTTCATTCTGATGAAGTCGGTCCTCTGCATCTTGCATCCTCTTCACAGCCATTTTGCGGTACTCTTCTTCTTCGCCAAGACGTTCGCGAAGCCGAAATCGTTCTTGATCAATGGCTGCGCTGTTTCCAGCTAGCCCTTGGATCTCGTTCACGGCCCGCAACTCCTGGTTCTTGACCAAGTGGAATCGTTCCTGCATTGCTTGTAAGGCTTGTTCCGAACTTGCTGTGTTTGACCGGAGGACCAAGTTCTCTCTGGCATGTTCATGAAGTTCATGAGTCAGACGCTCATACTCACGTGCCATAAGCTCACCATCGCCTTGCGCTCTTGCCTCCAACTGCACAAAGTTAGTGGCTGCCTCCGTGCGGAACACGTGTAGCTGTTGAGCTAACTCCTCGGCAACGGCATGTGCTTGACGTTGTTGAGCAGAGTTCTGTTCATCCATGCGAAACAAAGCTGTTTCATAGTCTCGCTTCATCTCCTGATTGACATTGTTGATGTGCCTCATGGCTAAGCATGCATGGTCACGTTGTCGTTCCAATTCTTCAATGCGAATTCCAGATCCTTCATCTTCTTGTTGCATCTCCTTGATCTTGTCCATCAGGGTCTGAACAACTCCTTCGTATTCTTGCATCTGACTGCGATAGTACATCTGCTGCGCAAGGTTAGATGCTTCGAGCTGTTGCGAAATCGTCAGTTCCTGATAGGCATTCGGACCATCGGCTATGGCTGGCGTGGTCACCGATGATGCATCACCACGTGCTGGGATAGTGTCCAGAGTCATATCCAGATCGTCAGCATCACGTGGTTGATTGGTAACCATCCGATTCCAAGTCATGGATTTGTCACGCCCACGAGTAGCCGAAGTCCTCGATCGTGCTGAAGAGCTTCTCGAAGATGATGGTCTTGACTTCTTTTCCAAGGTCTTCACTCCTTTGTCCTTGGCCCTGGACGTAGTCCGAGGTGCCTGAAAACCAGACGCTTCGGCTCGTCGTTCGGGAGCCTTGCCCGTCCTCGAACCTGTGGATGTCGGACGCGAAGGCGTAGATGCTCTTGGTAGACTCTTTGCTTTCACCTTGGGAACTGCCTTTGCAATGGCAAGCGCAGAAGATTGACCTTTGTCATCTTCCGTGGAGCTATCAACGGATTGCACCACTGTGTCATCAGCTGTTGATTCACCAACGGCTGGCGCTGCCACATCGGCACCGAAAGTCATTGTCGTATCTTGGCTTGATCCCGAGTTCATTGTGGTCGTAGTAGATCAAGTAGTCGTTGCTGTAGAAAGGCAGAGCCGCGTACGGCTGATAACCTGCGTGGGGGATTGATCTCGACTAGGTTGCTGCTCTCCCCACCAGAGCTGTAATGAATGTAGGTGTGGCTGGCTTGCACTCTCCACAGACTGGACCCTGTCTCTCTTACACTTCCACACGTGCAATCCTATGCAGGCAGAACCGGCGGCCGTTCCTTTTGCACTCACTGCCGGCGGCGGTTCGTCTGTGCAACGGGATAGCTCTGATTGCTCAGGATAGAAGACACTTATAGCACTTAGCTATGGGCATTGACTTGAGCCAAACGTTGCGTGGGCGGTCACATAGAAAGGTAAAGATGAGGGACGCGTAGCGTGCCCCCTTAGAGTCGAGGGACGCGTAGCGTGCCCCCTTCTCTTGCACTTTACACGGTCTTGCTCACAGCTCTTATAGTGACACCTTAGAACCTGACAAGGCATCGCAGTCCGTTCGCATAGTCTGTAGTAGTCGTAATAGTACAAGTAACAGCAGTAGTAGCAGTAGTAATAGTAGTAGTAGTAGTAGTAGTAGTAGTAGTAGTAGTAGTAGTAGTAGTAGTAGTAGTAGTAGTAGTAGTAGTAGTAGTAGTAGTAGTCAGTAATAATGGTAGTGGTAGTCGTGTCGCTACGACGACGACGGCGACTACTACTACCTACCTATCACTACGACTAATACTACTACAATTAGTACTTCCACTACTTCTACTATGCTGCTATCACTACTACTACTACTACTACTACTACTACTACTACTACTACTACTACTACTACTACTACTACTACTACTACTACTACGACTGCTACTGCTGCTACTACTGCTACTGCTAGTCCTTCTCCTGCTCCTACTACTATAACTACTACCACTACTACTACTACTACTACTACTACTACTACTACTACTGCTGCTGCTGCTGCTGCTGCTGCTGCTGCTGCTGCTGCTGCTGCTCCTACTCCTACACCTGCTCCAACTGGTACTACTGGTACTGGTACTGGCACTGGCACTGTTTGCACTGCTACTTCTAGTGCTACTGCTGCCTGCTGCGGCTACCTACTAGTACTAGTACAACGACGACGACTACGACCACGACTACCGGTACTACTATGATGGCGACGACGACTGCTGCGGCGACCGCGATTACGACTGGGCTAAATACTAATAATAGCATAATAATGACTAGGAGTCAAACTATGAAAGAAAAACCTGCTACAGCCACAGACAGAGTTATAGGAGGCCCTAGGCAGTTGTATAGTGTTCTGCCAAGCGACCAATTAGTTACAGCCATATTAGGGTCTGGGTTAAAAATACATTAGTTATTAGTTAGGTATTGGAACAGGGACCCAGCCAAGGATTAAGAAAGACAGGTACCCTTGCATTGCACACCCCAATTCCAAAACAAACAAGCATTACTCGATCAAGTCCAGGCAAGAGTCGCAGTTCAGGCGCCCAGGATTGCGAACCCCTGGCTGCTGCAGGAAATGTTGCAGCGATAGAACCCCCCAACTGGCATGTCATCAGCCAACGAATGCATACCTCCTGACTGAAGTCTTCCAATCCATTCTTTCTGCAGCTATGCCACTGGTGGAGGAGTAGGCACCGGGCGTGTCACAAAAAACTCATCTGCCTGGACAGGATTGGGCTGTTGCTTCTGAGTGAACAATCAAAACCCTGAACCAGAAGAAACTGGCCTCAAAACTGAAATCCTCCACGATGCGTCTTTTCTTCTTGGGGAGGCAAATGGCAGGCTCCTGGAGATTGGTAAACCACTCATCCAAGTCCTCGGCAGAAAAAAAAAACAAGGATACCTATGATCACACCCTGCCTTCGGCTTGCATTGTCAATGCAAAACCCGCGGGCCTGGTCAGCAAGCTTCTTGGCGATGGCATCCAAGGCGGCACCGATGTCGCAGGTGAACAGGTTTCGCCTGTGCCGCAATGTCACGGTGTCGACGACCTTAGCTTAGATCTGTTCAATCAATTCTGAAAGCTTCGATTCGATGTCTCAGGGCCACCGTTGAAACAAGTGGCTGCGAAGCCATAAGTCCCCGTAATCTCGGAGACCGCTGCCTTCAGAAAAGGTTCCTCCTGTGCCCTGGGATACTTCATTTCTGAGTACCTCAGAACAAAGAACAAAGCACAAGACCAAGCCCAATGCTTGAACCGTCTTGACCCAATTCAGTCCAATGCAAGCGGGTCGCAGTGGCTGCAACCGCCTCGAGAGTCCTTTCATTGATCTAATCAGCAGCTTGTCGTCTCCCAGCAATAACGTAGGGAACCTCAGTTATTTGTATCACCCACCGAATAGTGAATACTGATGCAAGCAAAGCCCGAGCATGGCAATTTGACCAAGATACCGCCCAGAGGCACCGAAACACTTCATGTCGAAGCCCACTTTCTCGAAGCCAACTCGGTCGAGTGTCGCCTGCAGACGGCAATTCACAGGGTAAGGTTTGAAGCTTTCGTGACCGGTCCTTCACAGCTCCCTTCATGAAGGCAGGGCCGTCACTGTAGGGCACGTGGATAACGAATCGTACACCGATCGCATAGCAAAGCTCCACTGCATCCCGGAGGAAGTCCTAAGATAAGCACAACTCACAAATATCAGCACCGTGGCCCAATTTAACCACGGAGACAAGTCGCCACCACCAGCTTGTCCGCACATGCCGCTGCTCCTGGCCTGGAAAAGAGAAAACCAATCATGCTGACCTTCACAATGCCCAAACAATGCCGCAGCATGTCGAGTCGAGTGGCAAAGCATAGAACAACCCGCCAGGGTATACCCGACTGATCATTTGCAAACCTGGGATACACTCTTCCAGCATCAATCAAGGCATCAAGTAAGGACTCTTGTGGTCAAAACTCAAGCACTTGCAATCGAGAGGCACAGTGCTCGTCCATCAGTATTCAGGATAGACTCACTGGCAACAAAGGAACGAAGCGAAGAGTTTGCGATGTTTTCCTCGTGCAAAGCTTTGCTAAGTTCGGGGGCGGTGTGGGGTGTCGACTCCTTGCAACAATCAGAACAACTCAGGCGTGCACTTGGGTCAGTCCCTCTGCAAAATATGGCGCAGTTGACCCGTAAACCAGCGCATGAATAAACCTGTTCCGCCTCATCGTCGGCCCCTCCTCGTTGTACGATGTCCCCGACTCAAGCACCCAGGGACAAGCATCTTCGCATCGCACACGGGTTTTCTCAGACATCACGGCACCGGGATCCATGGCTTTTACTACTTGTATAATTACCTCTGTCAGTTCTGGAATCACAAATCACGAATTATTAGAAGCTTAGGGTTTATGTGTGTGAGAATAGCAAGAGTATTGTCTTTTCTGAAGTACAGAGACTGCCACTACTTTTCTACCAGATAAAACGAAGCAGCACCAGAGCAAAACATAGCTACAGCAGGACAGTTGAGACAGAACGCACAAATGACATGCCACGGTTGCCGAGACAGACCGACTATGGACATCCTTGAATTAAGAAACCTTGGGCCTTTATTAGGGTTCCTTCCATGAATCCTAGTATTTTGGGGTTACAGGCCAAGGGTTTCTTAATCAGGTTCCTACATCAGGATTTCGGAGATGGCTGCGGATTGACTTCCAGGGATTCGGGCATTATGGATGAAGGTGCTCCGGGAATAGAATCATAGACCCCTACCTTAACCCACCAGAACCTACCTTTTTGTAGGGTCCCTATAAATACCATATTCGGGCTTATAATAAGAACCCACAACAATGTAGGGTTTGGTAGGTTAAGATAGGTCCCAGGTTGTCGTGTCAGAGCAATGCGGCACCACCAGCGCGAAGAGAAGCTGACAAATGAAGAGCAAAGCCATCGTCCAGCCAAGCCTGGGTACAGGGTTTAGGGTTTAGGGTTTGGTTATTCTGTCTGGTTCTTAGTAGGGAATGGGCTATGGGGGACTATTATTGGGGATTATACAGGGACGACTATATTCCCCCATTCCCTACTAAGCACCAGGGAGTATTGCATCAGTTAGGGTTTTGAGGGGCAGTTTGGGAAGATGCGGGGATCCTCTTGATCATCGAGGCCTTCGAAGCTAGTCTACAGACCTGGTCCAGATCTTCCGAACAAATTGCGTAAAACACTGCTGCGCTACCCTGGCCTCGCACCTCGAAATACGAACATGGCAAACACGAACCCAAATGAACCTCGAGACCGGGATTAGAGTACCTCGTCCCCAGAAGTACCTGCAACCGGTCACGGCCATGGCATGAGCAATCTAGGGTGCCCTTCCTTCGCAATTAAGGTAAACCCTCAACCCCAATAAGTCCCCCAGTAAGACAGGCCACACCGTGACGCTGCTGCGGATGGCGGTCGTCATCAAGAAAAGTGCGTCAAACTCCTGGATCCTGCCAAGAATCTTCTGTCGTTCAGTGGGTTGGTTGGAATCCTTGCGGAACGCCTTTCTGGAGCCCGCATGGAACACCAGGCACTCCAACCTCTAACCCGAAGGGTCCAAAGCTTCTATTCAGTAGAAAGTAGGGTTTCTAGATTAGGGATTACTATTATGATTTAGGGAAGTATCCCCCATAACAGTACCTAGGACCCTTTGGGTAAGAAACCCCTTGACTCCCCTCGACCATCCTGGATTGCCTTAACCTGCGAAGATCGTGTCATAGCAACCCGTAGACCTAACACACCGAACCTCAAATCTCTAACCCCAAAGCTTGAACCGCAAACCATAGCCTTGAAGCTTATGGTCGAACCTGGAAGCTTGAACCCACAACCCCAACCTTCAAGCTCAAAGCCCCAACCCTAAAGTACCCGAATGGATTGAAACGCTAAGTTAAAGCGTTTCAAGAACTCGCCCGCGAATAATTACACCCTGAAGCCCGAACGCCCCAAAACCCTAAAGCCCTAAACCCTGAACATGAAGCAAGGCCCCTAAACCCTAAACCCTGAACCCAACTGACGTTGTCCTGCGAACCAGTCGTAGGAGCCGAAGAAGCCGAAAGAGACGAGCCAGGCGTAGAATCTGGCTGTTAACCTCGAAGCTCTGGGATTTAGGGATTAGAAGTTTCAGGGTTTAGGGTTTTGAGACTAGAAGTTTCGGGGTTTTTTAAGTTGAGTTGACTTTTACGTCTGAGTTTTTGGGTTTAGGGTTTATAGGGATTAGAATGGAAGTTTTAGGGCGCAGGGATTTGGAGCTTATGGTATCAGAGTTTAAACAGTGATATAGGGTTTGACGGGTCGCCGACTCGATGTAGGCTGTAGGTCCTTATACAGGGTTTACGGATATGGGGGCTTCGGGCGTGAAGCTTGCATCTTCGGGAAGGCCTACACCGCAAACCTTCTGTTTCGGGTTTGCGGTCTGCAGTTGAATCAGGGGTTTCAGTGGTTACGAAACAAGGCTAGCAACCAAAGAAAAACCTGCACATACCAGTGCCAGCTACATGCAGGGCCCTCCAAAATTCAGATGCTTCAGACTTTATCGCACCGTGCAGCTATAGAGATGGTTGCGGGGAGACAAAAATCAAACCCACTCCGGAATGCTTGCCATGGTATCTGCGGTGGGTTTGTAGTGCTTCGAGTTTAGTGTTAGGCCCTATGTTTATGGGTTTGTTCAGGGTCTCCGGATAGAGAGCTACCAGGACGGATTCCCTTTTCAAAGATCCCTTCAGGGATGGTCCTGCTTGCAAAGCTTCCAGACTTACCTTTGGTTAGTAGGGAATGGACGAATGGTAGCAATAGCAGTTGTAATTGTACCCCATTCCTCCATTCCCTACTAACCAAAGGTAAGCAGATGATGAAGAACTCCCATTAGGGTTTAGGGTTTTAGGCTCTGCTTGAGAACTCCTTTAGCCTAATTGCCCGGAAGCACGTCATGACAAAATTCTACCCTGAATCCTCCAAGCCCCTGCACCCTACAAGCCGAACCTGTGAAGAACGTGTGCAGCACATGCCCTGCAAGACTCAAAACTCCGACCTTCCTAAACCCTAAACCCTACACAGTTCTCGAACACCAAAATCCGAACTTCGCAAACTCCGACCTCCTGGCTGCCACTGGTTGCAAGAGAGTCGCAGGCAGATTCGTCACCAGCCTGGGCTGTTCTCCGAGGCTTACAGGCTCAGAGGTTTAGAGCTTGGAGTTTTCAGTGTTTCCCTATTTTAAACATTAAAGCCCGTCTACTAAAACCCCCATAATGTGCCTTATAGCAACCTTTAGAGCCCGTCTAGTGTTGAGGCCGGGATCTTTAGCAGGAGCTCTGGGCTGCAGCTTAAAACCACGAAGACTCCAGGCAACTCTCCGAGGCACCGCAGCATTACATAAGATAATGTAATAGGTTTAGGGTTTAGGGTTTAGGGTTTAGGGTTTAGGGTAATACTTCATTCTTTCTTGTTATAATGCATGTTTCTGATATTGTTCTGTATTATACAACCCCAAACAAAATCCGTTCCTAGACCGGGGACTGCCAAGAACAAAGAGTTATGCCATGGCGTGTCGAGTTCTGTTTCCTATTACTTACGATGCCAACATTTGGGTTCTGGCATACCATGATGGCCGGAAGTATTACGTGGCCCGAAACCCGACTCGAAGCCCCTCGAAAGAAATAGCTGCCCAAATTCACGCGAACGATCACGAACAACAATCCGAAACCCTTAAACCCTAGACTCTTGAATCCGCAATTGCCCCTAAACTCCAAGGCCCTAACACAAACCCGGGTTGAGTTGCAAGTCACAGTCAAGCAGAGAGTCCCCAGGAATTGTCCCTGCGACTGACAAAGTCTGTCAGCCCCGCAATGTAAGCCTTTAAATGCGGCACTTCTTGAAGTGGCGGAAATAAATGCACACCAGGCGTTCGAGGTGGTCCTACACCCTGAAACCTATGAACCCAAAGCCCTATAAATCCTGAACCGTCCAAAAGCCGTAGCTTTATTTATCAGCGAATAGGCAGCTTCTTGATCAGCAGACTATTACGAGACGCAGGGGCGACTTGCTCGAAGCTTGGGCATCGACTTGATGAGCTAACCTAGGGTCTGGGGCTGCACAGGTTTAGGGTGTGTCGTGCCCTACGAAGCCCGACTTTCGCTGAGCGCAAAACATTGGATCCTAAACCGTAAACCTGGATTGGAGCTTTCAGCTGGGTGTCTTCTCGAGCAGCCAAACACTGATGACCATACCATCCAACCAGTTCCATGCTTCCTTTCCAGGACTTCTTGGAGGTTCATGGGTAGTTAGAAGCAGGGTTATAAATAGGTTAACTATACTTATAACCCTAATTAGGGGACTTGTAGCCCCACTTATAACTACCCCTGAACCTCCAAGTTGCAGGGCTTGAAGAGGAAGGCTTGGGGCTCAGAGGTGCGGTGGGATCTAGGGCATGTAGGATTTTGGGGCTGAAATTGAAGCTGAGGGCTTGAAGCTCAGGGGAAGTGACGGTTTCGGATCTCCGAGGGAAGGGGCTGGCTGGGTTCAGGGCTCTGTCTTCGGTTCTCATGTCTTGTCGGCGTGAAGCTTTGGAGTCACGTC